TGTAGTTTAATAAATAACTGCCAGATCTTTTTCCAAAGTTGTTGTACTCATTTTCCCTTTTTCAACAGCACAGGAAAATGTGCAAATATTATTAAATTATTTTTAAAAGCAATATGAAAAAACACGAGTGTAGGATAACCCTGTTAACCTTATTGTGTACTATGTATTACATAGTACATAATAAGTAGTATTATTACTTATTAAGTAATAATGCATACATAGTACATACGTAGTTATGTACATAGTAATACATAGTACATACATAGTATATATATATGAAAAAGGCTGGACAAATCTTTTCAATTGTTAATAGAAATAATCTCTGCATACTAGGTTGCAAATAATTTTCACTTTTTTTCTTGCATTTTTCTAACTTGCAGCATCATGTATTACTTTAAGACATTGTAAATTTGTTTTTCTAACTACAGGAAAAAGAAATGACAGTAGACTACTGGTTCAAAATACTCTCTTCTATCCAACAAGGCCAAGAGATGCAAAGGATTAATCATGAACCCAGTTGCCCAGAGGAGGAAAAAAAAAATCTGTTGTAGACGGAAGAAGCAAGAAGTTATATGGTAAGCTTCATTCATAATTCATAGAACTGTTCATTGTGCAGGTCTTTTCTTGAATGCTTGAATTTGTGGTTAGGTAGAAGGACTTCTCTTCCCCTGCCTTTATTTATTCTCTGTGTTTATGTTGTGTTCCAGAACTTTCTGCCTAGACAATAAGTCCTGTGTCTTGTTATTCTGAGGCAAGAGCATAATAGATGCTCACTGTGCTTGTGAAAATACTGGACACTTCGTGGAAAGTGCATTTGACATGGTGGCCGTGTCTAAAACATAGTCATACCATTAATATCAATAATGTAGAAATTAAAGATACAATGGAATGCTTTTACACAACATGAAAAATACCCAGTTACACATTGCATTGGAATGCAACTCCCCACTGCAGGCACAAGGAGGCTACTTAAACTTGAGAAACTACTTGGAAGCCATTCTCAATGTGATTATTCTTTATCTTCAAACAGAAACTCAGATTACAAGGAGTAACTTTTCCCTCAAGGAACAGTATCAAAAAATTTTAAGTAGACCATATGGCATTTGTCAAATGAGAGGGGGGAAAAATCTCCCACTTCTCAGGGATATTTATTTTACCTGTCAGGTCTTTAAAGGAGAGATTATATATAATATCTCTTTTAATCTTCACACACAAAAAGGTGTTCAATCTGCCTACCTGTCTCTGTGGAAGTGTGAACCTAGACAATAAAATTGCTTTTCTCTTACAGCATAGCATAGCATAGTTAGATACTTTTTATGAAGCTACCCTAAAGCAGGATGTTGAGAACCATGCGCAGGGATTTCAAAGTTTACTTCTTCTTCTAACTGGAATGCTGTAAAATCAGAAAGTTGTTAAACAGAAATAATATGGTAAAAAGAATGCAGATTCTGGAGCCAGAATCCTGCTTTGCTTCTTACTGACAATATGTCCTAGTACAAATTACTTAGCATCTCTGTGGTTCAGCTTTTTCATCAGTAATATTTTATCAAAATTGTAATTACTTCATATAGTTGCTGTGAAGACTGATGGAGTAAAACTTTGTAAATGAGTGAATTCATGCTTAAAACCATGCCCAGCACATAGTACTTTTAACCAAAGTAAGTTATTATTATTATTATATTTCTTTAGTACATGTCATTCAGATGTTCAGAGAAGTGTGATTCATTCAGAATGATTAAGAAAAAATCTGCTTGAATTAATGAAAAATGTAGATTATAAAATCTTTTTTTTAAATCCATTATGTTACTTTCAAAACGATAAAGGTATTTAAACTAAAGTAACTAAAAAGTATTAATGCTAAAAGTTTCATAAGGGGCATACTTCAAAAAATGAGTAAGTTAACAGTTTGCTTATAAAGGAACACATCCTTTGAAAAGTGTCTTCTATTAAGTAGGGTAAGTATTCCATCTCATCACACTATTTGCTTGGCTACAGAACAATCATTTCCCCTACAGAAAGCAATTTCATAAAGTAAAAAAGCATCTTTAGGATAATTGATGCTAATCTCCCTCTTACTCAGGAAACCCTCACACCACACGGGACTTGGTGTCACATGGATTCAGTGAAGAAAACTTATACTTCCATCTCAGTCCAGTCATCTTTAGAAAGTGCTTCCTTAGATTAGGCTGAAGTCTTCTTAAAATGTCCACTCTCTGTCACTGTTTTGTGGAGTTCCACTGAATGAATCATTCCTCTTCGTTTTGATAACAGTTCAAGAATTTGAAGACAGCTGTTGTATGTTTCCCTGAAATCTTCTCCAAGTGTAACAGCCTCATTTTTGTTTTGACTGTTTTTCAATGGCATGACTTTAGATGCATCATCTACCTTGGTCCTTTCCTTCTGGACTTTCTCCTGTTTGACCTTTTTCCTCCTATACTGGGGTTACCAGAACTGAACATGAAACTCTGGGTATATTCTGATTAAAGCCTTGCTTGTTCTGGACCCAAGATTAATCTTGAAATTTTGGTAGTCATATGACTCTCTTGACTTATACCAAGGTCAGCAGTACCACCCCCTCTTTTTTGTAGGGGTAAGGGGTATGTATTAGTCAGGGTTCTCCAGAGAAACCAAATCAATATGGTGTGTGTGTGTGTGCGTGTGTGTACAGAAAGAAAGATTGAGAGACATAGTAATTTACAGGAATTGGCTCACACAATTATGGAGGTTGAGAAGTCTGGACCGGGAATTGCTGAGTGTACAGTTCCATCTGAGTCTGAAGGCTTGAAAGCAAGAAGACTGGGTGCACGTCCCATCCGAGTCTCAGTCAGAAAACTAGGAGAGCCATTGGTGTAAGCCCCAGTATAAGTCTGAGTCTGAAGGCAGGAGAAGAATGATGCCCCAGCTTAAAAATAGTCAGGCAGAGATTTTTTTTTTCTCAGCCTTTTATTTTATTCAGGCTTCCAATAAACCAGATAAGGTCCTCCCACACTGAGAAGAGCAAAAATCCGCTTTACATAGTTGACCAGTTCAAATGTTAATCTCATCTAGAAAAACCCAGAAATGTTTAACCAAATATGTGGTCACTCCATGGCCCACTCAAATTGACACAAAATTAACCATCACAGGGTGCTGTGTGCTGTGTCAGCCATATCCTTCCTACCTTCTACCTCAAATATTTTTACCCATCTATTACCGTTATAAGTATATTTATGTACTGTTACATGCATATGCATTTTACATCTACTCCTATTCGATTTTTAAAAATATTTTCCCCAGAGATTCATGTTTTGGGGATCTCAGATACTAGCTCCCTTATCATCATATTGGGTAACACTGTGGAATTTCCATGTATAATACGGCTCAATGAGTCTTCTTCTAATACAAAATATTAAACTGGAAACTACCAAGAAGACTTTCATATAGAAAAAATGCTTGGTTTCCATCCATCCATTAATCAGTTGTTTCTGAGGTGGCCATTCATTAGTTATTATCTATCTAATTGTAGCATCAGTTGCCCTCATATTCATAAGGTCTTAAAGATCTGGAATAAAATTGTGTCATACGTTCTTCTATTTGTAGGACTGCATAATCTTTAGTCAAGTACAGACACATTAGAAACATTGAAATGTCGATATACTATGTCTTTAGCATTTCCCTTGTTGACTAGTTTTGCAACCTTACTGAAAAAGAAGTTAGTCTGGTGTGACCAGGTCTCAGTGGACCCAGTCTAGCCTCTAAGGTTCATAATCTATTTCTTTAATATTTTTGAGATTTTTACCTAGGAACAAACTTTTAAGCCTATAATTAGTAGAATTTGCCCTCTTTTCTGCAAATATCTGTGTAACGCCTAATCAAGTCATAAGTAGACTAATTCATCATTTGTCTTCCCAAAGTTAAATCATACAGTTTATTAAAGCTTCATTATTGATCAAAGAATATTACTTCTTCATGTCTTAGGGTGAATTAATGTATCTGCCCATGATTTTAGATTTGAGATTTCTTGGATATTGACTCAATCATCTAATATATTTGTTATCACTACCAGATCAGAAAAGAAAATGGGGAGGGAAAATAAAAATGCCTCTTTTACCTAAAGGCAAAGGGCTGAAGTAAATAATCTTCATTTTCTTTTTGTACGAAGTCTGTATAGCTCAGGAGACTTCATTAAAACACTTGTCTGGGACCATTTTAAGTTTGCTCTTCCCTACTCTGTAATCCCACCGTGATAGACTTAAACCTCACCAATATTCATATGTGTAAATCTGATTTTTCAGGATAGTAAGATTTGAAAGATATGCTGCATCAACGAATTAGAAAACTAGATTTCACAAACACATAAAGTTGCTTTCATCAGGAGGTTTCTAAAACTGTTAGAAGCCAAAAATGCAGAACAAGAAGGAGCTTCAAAATATGACTGTAACCACAAGTTTATGTGCAGAAACAACTTGCCCTTTGGGACCCTTTGGCCATGTCTCTTGACTACAATTCTCTTCCTGTTTTGGGATTGATTTCAAGACTCCCTATTCTTCCTGTCCTTGCGTGGTTAAACGTTCTCGTCACCCTGGCCTATTTCCTTGATTTCCTAGTTGATTATTTTCTGGCTCGTGATCCAGTTCTCTAAATTGGATTCTGGTCAAATTAACTTTTCTCCTCGAAACTTTGGTAGTGATCTTCCACCAGGAAGAAAAACATTTCCTCTCCTGGCTCAGAACAATCAATAATGCTCCCTCCCAGAAAATGAATGTCAATGGCTGTCCTATTCTCCTTGCTGATGGCTCTCATACTTATTAATCCATCCTACATTTTAAGCCTTTATTCTACAAATGAATTGCCAAAAACCAAGTCGCTTTACATAAAAATGAGAATTACAGTAAAATTCAGCTTGTCTAATCTCAGCCCATTCAATTCATCCAGATGCACTACAATAGGACTAACTGTGTGATGATTTAGAAGAGCCATGTTTTGTTTCTCTTTTTGTTTTTATTGTCCTTTGCCCTTAGTGAAGCTGTGGTATACCAATCTAGACAGCTCAGTGGCAAGCACTGAGGCGAAGGCTAATGTGTGCTGTGTTAAATTCAGCCCCTCTTTCAGATACCATTTGGCTTTTGGCTGTGCAGATCACTGTGTCCACTACTATGATCTTCATAACACTGAACAGCCAATCATGGTATTCAAAGGACACCAAAAAGCAGTCTCTTATGCAAAATTTGTGAGTGGTGAAGAGATGGTCTTTGCCTCAACAGACAGTCAGCTAAAACTGTGGAATGTAGGGAAATCATACTCTCCATGTTCCTTTAAGGGTCATATCAATGAAAAAAACTTTGTAGACCTGGCTTCCAATGGAGATTATAAAGCTTGTGGAAGTGAAAATAGCTCTCTCTATCTGTACTATAAAGGACTGTCTAAGACCTTGCTAACTTTTAAGTTTGATGCAGTCAAAAGTGTTCTGGACAAAGACCGAAAAGGAGATGATACAAAAGAATTTGTTAGTACTGTGTGCTGGAGGGCACTACCAAATGGAGATTCCAATGTGCTGATTGCTGCTAACAGTCAGGGTACAATTAAGGTGCTAGAATTGGTATGAAGGGTTAACTCAAGTCAAATTGTACTTGATCCTGCTGAAATACATCTGCAGCTGACAATGAGAGAAGAAAAAGAAAATGTCATGTGATGTCTCTCTCCAAAGTCATCGTGGGTTTTGGATTTGTTTTGAATATTTTTTCTTTTTCTCTTTTCCCTCCTTTATGACCTTTGAGACCTTGGGAATACCCAGCCAACTCTCCATCATCAATGTAACTCCATGGACATTAATGCTCTTGGTGATGTGGTTATCTAATTTTTGTGGTAGAGAAACAAATTCTTTTGAATAAAAATAAATAACAACAAAAAAATAAATAAAAGTTTATTGAGGAAAAAAAAAGAAGAACCATGTTAACTAAAGGTCAGATCTCTGGAATCCTAGTTCTACTCTGTGAGTCCATGACACATCATGTCTTCTCTTCAAGCCTCAATTTTTTAATCTGTATAAAAATATGGTTCGACCAGAAGGTTCTCAAGGTCCCCATTAACTTTCAAGTTCTTTGGATCTATGAATCTATTTTAAAGTTGTTCATTATTGATTAATAACATTCATGTGATAGCCTGATCCAACTATTAGCAGTATAGAGATGTAATCACAACTTTGGAGGCAATGAAAGAATAGCAGTTCTTAAAGTAACCAAACCAATTTTTTTCTCTCTGTTTTTCCTGTTTGTTTTTCCAGTTCCCCAAATCTTAACATATTATGGTAAAGGAAGCACTCTTTCCTAGTGTTAATGACAGTAAAGACTATTGCAAAATGTCATAACAATGCCTGTCCTCAACTGATCCAGTCCACATTTGCAGATGCCTGATAGTCAGCCTAACTTCTGGATGCCTGTCCAAGCCAAACCTCTAAGTACTTGGACTTGGGCCCTTCTTTTAAGCTGAAATAAAGACTTGCACTTTCTTCCTGTCTTCAAAGACCTTCAAATTTTTGGGTAAAACCAACCCATAAATGCAAATAGACATCCTTTCACACACAATATACACCTGTACCTAGGTTTATACATGTGCCGGTAACTAGAAACTTCATCATAGGGTCATCTACGCTTCCAAAACATCAATAGAAGGCCAATTTTCTAGAATGTGAGGATGACAATTTAAAATGAGCCACATTAATGAGGTTTCCAGGAGGCTTTTAAGCTGTTCCAGCGATGGCTTTGGCTAGAGTGACCCACTGCATAGTTTTGCCCATGATCTGATCACAATGAGTTGTATTTATTTATGTGCTGTGTTTGAATAGTGGAGACAGTTTGGCAGAGTTATGGATAAGAGATTTAACTGCCGCATATCTTTAAATGCTAACAGCTTTTAACATTTTTTCTATATAACAAGCTATATTTATGAGACAATGAAGGGGTAGGGGTCTGAGGAAATAAAAATGAAGACAGAATAAAGGAAGAGAACAGTAGGGAACTCTGGCCTTGATGGGACTGAAAATATTTTAGAACTCTCAATTTCATTCTACTCTGAAAGCACCAGTTAGTTTTCCAAAAGTTTCCATTCATTATACTTCAGAGTATGATGTAATCCAAAGTTTAAACAATATGTTCATTATATCTCTATTTACACACTCATTCAATCAGTAAACCTACTTGTTGAAAGTATATTTTATGCAGGGCATTATATTAAGCATTGTCGATAGTGTAAAGGTATATAGGACATAGCTCTATCTTTTGACATCTAACTGTCTAATGAGGAGATATAATAGATATGCATAAGACTATAATACATCACTCTGCATTGGCAATTAATTAAAGAAGAGGCATTTTAAAATACACATTAGGATGTAAGAGAATGGAATCCCAGGAAGAGAGAAAAGCATGAGCAAAAATGTGGAGGCAAAAAGTACCAGGCTATTTTAAGGAATGACTGAATCACTGTGTTTGGGTGTTAGAGGAAGGGAGGGGGAAAGTCTTGAAAAAGTATAAGCAGGCTGGAACAAGATATGAATGACTTTAAATCTCACACTGACGAGTCTGGCCCTTTTTACTAGAAATGAGAAGTTAGTGATATTTAGAGCAGGGAAGAGCATGAGCAGAGTGCTGCTTTCAGAAGGAAGACTCATCTCGAGGCAAGGTGAGGAACTGATTGGAGTAAGAAAGTTTAGCGCCATAGTGACCAGTGAAGAGGCACTTTCAGTTGGCTCAGTGCAGGTAATAATGGCATCATCTAGGTGGATAAAGATTGGAAGGCAAAAAAATTAATAAGTACAAGAACAGATGTGGACCAATCAAACACCATATATGTAGAACGAGAGAGGAGTTACAGAAGGTTCTGGAATTTTAAATGGGATGGCAGAAACAATGTAGATCCATTGAGGGACAATTTGTAAGTGAGGGATGTTAATAGACTTAATTTTAAACACATAGGGAATTAAGACAATATTTCTCTACGTGCTTATGAGAAATCTCCCTTTTCAAACTTAGACTTGAACTGGGAAATAAGAAAGTCTGGAGATACCTTCTATTGTTTGTTTATAAACCCATTCTGAATTCGAAACAAGAAGGAAAATAGATGCACTTCGTGTTTTTTTTGTCTAGTCATCAATTAAACTGATGATCCAACACCATTTACTTCCATTGCCTTATCCACCTTGCTGACAATAGTAAAAACAGAGCCCAAAATGAGTCCAAGAAGCGTATCCCACCTCCGCTTGTACAAGACTGCAAGTGATAGCTTGAGAACAACCAGCAATGGAAGAAAACACACCCAGTGTAGATTGAGAAGGCTAGTATCAAACCCAGAAAATGACTTTCTATTATCAGTGAAGATGAGAATAAATGGCTCCCTAAGGAAATGGTATGTTCTCTTAATAGCTCACAAATTTTCCAGGTTAGTTTGATCAAGTGGAGCAGAGCTAGCAGGGATACAAATTATTGAAATGGTGGCAAAGATAAAGCTTCTATGTAAAATAAAATTTAAGATGCAAAAGAGATTAACAACTGGCCTTTTTAAGAGAATGAAGGAGGGGGGTTACAGCTTGAAATATATCTGTTTATGTTCTTACTCCATTCCAGTGTCCAGTTTCTGAAGATCAGAAATAGGGAGGATTTGGTAAAACTCTCAGTCTCCAATTTCTATCTAGCCTGGCCCTGTGTTAGTCTTTCACCCAGACTTCTTAACCCCTACAGCCCCTGGGAGAAAAGCGTGTTAGAACAAAGTGAGGAAGCCTGAGAGCTTCTCCTCACTTTCTGGCTGCCCTTCAGCAAATAGGGTTCTGATAGGGACAGAAGCATGCACTCTGTCTCCTATTTGGAGTTGGTTGTAGGAAAGAATTTGCACACATAGGCAAACTGCAACTCCAGCACACAGCTCTGGTTTGATTCCAACTGAAGTCAGTTGTCCCATACCCTCTGATTGCAACACATTGTAGGGAAACCATCAGTGCTCTTCACTCAGATGTTGTCAGCCAAGACTGATCCCAAAATAACCATGATGGTCCCAGAGGGTGAATGGAACCCACACTTCCCTTGGTTTTCCAGTGACATTTAGGAAAGTTTTCCTCCAGCTTCAATAGGTGACTTATCTAAGCAATGACTGGAGTGATTTCAAATTAATTAATGTTCATAGTTATTAATACCATAATTAAAAAGTTGGTCATTTGTTCCATTAATATGATATTAATGACACTGGTGATTCATAACATGAATCCCAACTTACCTTTGCATCCCAGTTTATGGTGGACAGCTCACTTCCACAGACGTTGTCAACCCCATTTGCCAACTCAATTCTCTGTTTATGTTATCTCCATCTTCAGAGGAGAAGACCCAGTCTCAGAGAGGTTAAATGATTGTCCCAAAGTTTCACGGTTGCCAAGAGGCAGAACTGAGGCTTTAACCCAACTCTTCTAACTCTGAATCCCTTGCATTTTTCTCACTGCACCACAGAGTAATTATAGGGCATGTTTATCAAGTGGTGTGTGCACCAAGTCGAAAATCCCATTTAACTTCTAATTGTTCCAAACACACCCTCACCACTGGGCTAGTTCTTTTGGGGGGGAATATCAGTGAGTCTGGTGGATTGTTTGGGTTGTTGTATTTTATATATATATATGTAATATATATACACACACATATGTGTATATTCCATTAGTTCTGTCCCTCTAGAGACAGATATCTCTCTCTACATCTATCTATCTATATCCATCTATCTATCTGTCTATCTATCTATCTATCTATCTATCTATCTATCTATCTATCTATCTATATGTAGAGAGAGGAGTTTAAGTATTAACTCACACGATCACAAGGTCCCACAATAGGCCATCTGCAGGCTGAGGAGCAAGGAGAGCCAGCCCGAATTCCAAAACTGAAGAACCTGGAGTCCGATGTTTGAGGGCAGGAAGCATCCAGCATGGGAGAAAGATGTAGGCTGGGAGGCTAGGCTAGTCTTTCATTTCACATTTTTCTGCCTGCTTATATTCTAGCTGTGCCGGCAGCTGATTAGATGGTGCCCACCCAGATTAAGAATGGGTCTGCCTTTCCCAGCGCATTGACTCAAATGTTAACCTCCGTTGGTAAAACCCTCACAGACATACCTGGTGTCAGTACTTTGTATCCTTCAATCCAGTCAAGCTGACACTCAGTATTAACCATCACAGTTGTTTTTTTTTTCATAGCAGTCAAAATGCCCAGTTGAGCCAGTAAGGTTTTTTCACCTTGAGTGAATTACTTGGCCATGTATTCATTCAGTATAAAACAAATATTTACTGAATGCCTACTATGTTTTACACATAATGCTAAAATTTTCACACAATTTTCTCCCTGTGACTTAGGTTAAAAAATTCATCCAAGTTGAAAATGTTATACACTTCTTTTTGCATTTATTTTCTAGTGTGATAAAGTCAGTTTAGGCTGGTAAACCTTCCTTATTTCTCCTCAGGAGAAAAAAAAAAAAAACAATGTATTTGCATTTAAGGAGGTTCCCCCTCATTTTTCAGTTATGTTCATCGCTATGACCCACTTATTTAGGTTCTTTGGAAAAGGAGAATTCACCCTCTGTGGGTCACCCTATTAATTACTATTGTAAGGAGCTGATTTATGGCCACAGAGCCCTTGCAGGTGTTTGAGAATGGTGCTCCACAATGGGAAATGGAAACAGGGTAATCAATAACCACCCTGAGACTCCTGCTTTAAGGCTGTCCTTGAAGATGTGCTGTGGATCTTTTTCCAGCATGTCTGATGAGCAATCCTTTTGCCGGCGAGGAGCCCTGTGGGAGGAGGAGTAAATATTGTCTTTAGACATGGCACAAGGACCAAAAGACACTGCCAAGACATCAATACTGAGAGATCACAGAGGACTTGTTGGTGAAGGAGGGAGGC